GCATTTCAAAAAGTTGTTAAAAAAAGTTCTGCACCGTCGTTCTTTTCGCTATGAAAATAATTCAGGATATGTACTAATATTCGAAAGTTCAGCGTATGATTTTAATACACTGGTTTATCATTAAGTTTTTTACATTAAATACATATGTTCAATTAAGAGCGAATTACTGTGTCATTGATCCACGTTTTGAATTTTATTGAAATATCCTGCCTTCCTTCTACTTAGTTGTCAAGTGAGCCTTCTTCTGCACTCATTTATTTATTTTTGCCAGCTCATCACTTTCTATTATTGTGACACGCTCAATTGGTTGCCTTAATTGCTGGTCTCCTGTCATTAGATCTCTAGCCTCAAGTGCTGGCCAAAGTGTCTGGAATAAAATTCTAGATTTTGAGCAGATCGAGTAAATTATATATAGAGAGTATCTACGAGTAATACTTGCAAACAGCTTTATTTCGCATCAGAGTTCACCTCCGTGTGTTAGCATCGAAATACGTATAACCTCTGCCACATTTATTATTTATAATCCAAAAATAAGTAATCTCATCAAAAGTTACTGCGTATTTTTTTCTTTATTTTCCAGCAGCTAGCAAACAATGCACTAACATAATGCTCAGTAAAATTAAGCGACATTGTTGCGATAAAAAAATATGTTGCGTCAAAACTGACAGAATGAAATTTATTTCAACTTTCTTTCAACTTGACCTGGTTGGATGCTGGACGAAAATATTTTGCAATGCATTAATTATCTCGAAGCCTACGGTGCTTTCAGGTTCCAAATATCAACTACTAAATTTGAGCATGTTCAAGCTAGTAGACTCCATCATTATTTCTTTGGCTTGCTCTGTGTTGGGTCTCAATTAAACAATAAAGTTTTGCACAGTAAATATAGATTTTTTCAAGCTCAAGGCTGTTCTATTCAAGTGCTTTTCCTGGAACAATTCAGGATTTCTATTGACGGGCTACAGTACAGACGCGCTACAACGAAACTTCAAAGGCCACCACTCGCTTCAAAGACTTCATGACTCGCTTCGAGCGATCAGTTCATCCATGTGTTCTATAAATTCAATGTGTTGCAAAGCCGTAAATGTTTTTCAAACTTATTTTTCTTGATGAACTTCCTTTAGAGATGTGCTTTCATTTTTTACTTGCTGGAAACGGTACCTAGCATCATTTTGTTTTTATTATCAGACAATTAAAAAATAGACCATATTATAATAAAAATAAAAAGATAATCTTAAAAGATAATAATAACATCTGATAAAATAGACCTGAACTTTAGTGCGTTCAAGTCTTCTTTGTATGCGAAGAATTAGATTCACGGTTCTGCCTGCTGCTTGTCGATTCTTAAAATATCATTTATGGTGGCGACCAAACTACAATTGTAGATTTCTTTTAAAAAGAGGTAACATATTTTGCTATTTTTGTGTTCCGTCGTCCTGTATGAATGTGAGTGCCTTTAATGTGTCACATGCAGCGTCAGTTTCAATTCAAGACGCCGTCGAAAGGCTAAATGCAATGTTTATGTTGAAGTAATTGGTTCGACAATACTGTTTACTGGCATTGGATATTCACATTATCATATTCCTGTACTTTAAAAGTACGTGGTAAAAATGTTGTTGCAGAGAAATTTTCAGGTTATTAAACTATAATTCAACGAAAGTGAACTTTTCATGAATAAGTTAAGAAACAGCATTTAGCATTTATCTCTACTTGATTACTTTATTTTCAGCATAGAAATGATTTTGGTTCCAAGAAATACTTCTCATTCCCTTCACTCATGTTACAGACTCTCGGCTCGCTGTTTTTCGCTAAACTCTTTTCAAGGTCTCCTGTATTGCGGAATCCCTTTCAATATTTGATTGCTGCTCTGCGCCAATTGCCCCAACATTATAAGGTTTCATTGAGGCATCTCCATACGATACGTCTTCAGTACAGCTCCCTGCTGTCTCGCAGCTTCATCTCACTCAGATCATCATTGAACTGCAAGGACTTTAAATTGGGAGAAGTTCGAGTTTCACAAACGGACGGAGTAAAACTTTTCAATTGTGTTTCATGAAACGGAGTTGAATGTTTCATTGACGTTTCATGGAATGGAGTAATGAGACGTTGCATTCACGTTTAATGAAACGTAGTGCAACGTTTCAATGGCGTTTCATGGAGCAGAGTGGAACGTTTCATTGACGCTTCATAGAACAGAGTTTCTCCGTAAATAAAATTGCATTATAAGGAAAAAGGGAGATTTGATAGGGCAGTTTATGAGGGCATCGGTTTAGCCAGCCCCATGGGAGCGCGGCTATATTTAGCCCTAAAGAAGCAGGAACGGGTTGAGGGTCGCGCCATGCAACCGCGCTGGGAACACAGCGCCCGGAAACTGCTTACTCTTCTGCGTTGCCATGACGACGCCGCAGCGCATGCTGCTGCTGCTGCTCTGCATCTCTGGTCGATGTTTAAAGATAAAAACAAGTATAAACGCGCGTGTCTATTTGCGGTTATACGGTTAATAATATTCACATTGTTGTTTGGAAATAGACTGTTGCTATACGTGGATACGTAGACGTTTTATATTTAGTTATGCCATGATAAACATGCGTGTTCATAGCATCAGCGGCGTATTAGATTGGATTATTGGGATTTAATAGCTCATCTATACGGCGATGCAACTACAGCAAATGTGTCGATTTGGTGTAATTCATAACTATTTTTAATGTTTATTAATTTATTTCTGCCTGATGACTAAATAACTTTTTCTAAAATTACAGAGCTGCAATAAATATGAATCCATCTTTAATTATATACTATCATTAGAGAAACTGCAAATATTGTTATTTTCAGAACCTTCGGTCGTATTCGAGTCCGAGTTGTTCTAGAGCGAGAAGCCGTACGCGTGTGTGCACTCATTGTTGACTTAGCCTCTCCTGTCACCTCCATCGCCATGTCAACATGTTTACCACGACACGTGTCGAACACTGACATGTCAACATGTTTACCACGACACGTGTCGAACACTGACATGTCAACATGTTTACCACGACACGTGTCGAACACTGCCATGTCAACATGTTTACCACGACACGTGTCGAACACTGCCATGTCGACATGTTTTCCACGACACGTGTCGAATACTGCTATGTCAACATGTTTTCCACGACACGTTTCGAACACTGCCATGTCGACATGTTTACCACGACACGTGTCGAACACTGCCATGTCGACATTTTTACCACGACACGTGTCGAACACTGCCATGTCAACATGTTTACCACGACACGCATCGAACACTGCCATGTCAACATCATTACCGCGAGTGTTGACAACTGTCCTGTCAACATCATTACCACGAGTGTTGGCAACTGCCATGTCAACATGTTTACCACGACACGCATCGAACACTGCCATGTCAACATCATTACCACGAGTGTTGACAACTGTCATTTCAACATTATCACCATGAGTGTTGGCAACTGCCATGTCAACATCGTTACCATGAGTGTTGGCAACTGCCATGTCAACATTATCACCACGAGTGTTGGCAACTGCCATGTCAACATTATCACCACGAGTGTTGACAACTGCCATGTCAACATCATTACCACGAGTGTTGACAACTGCCATGTCAACATTATCACCACGAGTGTTGACAACTGCCATGTCAACATCATTACCACGAGTGTTGACAACTGCCATGTCAACATCATTACCACGAGTGTTGACAACTGTCATGTCAACATTATCACCATGAGTGTTGGCAACTACCATGTCAACATCATAACCACGAGTGTTGACAACTGTCATGTCAACATCATTACCACGAGTGTTGGCAACTGCCATGTCAACATCGTTACCACGTGTGTTGACAACTGCCATGTCAACATCATTACCACGAGTGTTGACAACTGCCATGTCAACATCATTACCACGAGTGTTGTGTGACATGCGCTAAAATCGTGCTTGCGCAAAGTTTTAGTAAGATCATTTTGCATAATCATTACGTTGTCTTGACATGTTTTCTTTTCGCTGTTTTATTTTTTTTGTCTTTGGTGAGAAAAAAACATGACAATCTTTGGTTAGAAACAATCATGACAATCTTTGTGAGAGACAATCATGACAATCTTTGGTGAGCGACATATAATGTTTATAATATAAATGTATAAATATATGTATAAATATGTATATATGACATATATCTATAAATAATAACATAAAGTCTCCAACACTCAGAGAAATGAGTGGGGCTTTGTCCAAATAGCGATGCTCTCTTTGCCAGTGTATGTGTCATCCTGACCTAGTTTTGACTGCTAAAATAGCGTATTAGGCTACATCCGTTCTCTGCTCGTGCTGTTAGTCAGAAAGTTATGACACGTGGCGACATACATCTTGCCAAATAATCCTCGCGGTTCACGTCAACAACCTGGCAACTGTTGAGCAGCTTCACCGCTGCAACGATAGCTGTTAGCTGCTCAATGTTGGTACAATAATGTAGTTAATTAATAAAATGATAATGTAGATAATGGCTATAAAACTTGAATTTAATAATAGAATTCTAATAAATGATAGATTCTTAAACTATGGCTTTGTTCATTCAAATTTCAGCTCAATTCCCTACTTCAATAATAGTTCTGTATTTGGTAAACTCTAAATTGTTAAAAGATTTTATTTCAATTAATCTTCAGATCTTTTGTACCGGCTGCCCCGTAGTGAACACAAGCTGTAAATAAATTCTCGGATTGTAAAGAAAATAGCGTGCAGGCAGCCATTTTAATTGTATGAATTTCCAAAAAATTTTGTTTATTATGGGAGCAAATTTATTGCGTATGTTATTTGTACCTTTAAATATATTGTTCTTATTTGTACTGCTGTTCTTGTGACCTCCAATTATCCGTTCGTACGGTAAAGACAAACACACGAAATTGTTAAGAGAAAAAATTTTTATTGAATGGCATCATAGGCATGATACCTTCTTGTACAGTGCATTATTCTAGATATTTTTCGAGTTAGACAATATGACCAGCAGTAAAAATATGTAAACAGGGTAGTAAGATAATCGTACATTAATCATATTTGCTTTCGTGGAGAAAACTGTTCACGTCAGCAATGGATTATTAAACGGGAAAAATGCACTGGCTTCACGCAACATTTTAGCCTGGCTTATAATTTGAGCTATCGTACATTAACCAATAAACAAAGCACTAGATGCGAAGGAGTCTCAGTTCACTAATATCACAATATGCGGCACGGATATTCACTTCACTTAAAACACTGAAACATGGCTTCACACTTCATCACATATGGCTTTACACAATTACGTTAAACACGAAAGTCACGGCACCATTTGCTGCTCCAGTTACTGCCAGACTTGCTGCTCCTGTTACTGCCAGACTTGCTGCTCCTGTTACTGCTGCCCTTGCTGCTCCTGTTACTGCCACACTTACTGCTCCTGTTACTGCCACTCATGCTGCTCCAGTTACTGCCAGACTTACTGCTCCTGTTACTGCCACACTTGCTGCTCCAGTTACTGCCAGACTTGCTGCTCCTGTTACTGCCAGACTTGTTGCTCCAGTTACTGCCACCCCTGCTGCTCCTGTTACTGCCTCACTTGCTGCTCCTGTTACTGCTTTTAACTTCTTTACTGTAATCAAATTTAATCAGCCGCTCCCAGCGGCACCGGCGTTGTTTAGTCAGTGAGCGCTCGATCTCTAAACCAAATAAATTTCCACTCTTCACTCATTGGATGATCATAATAAACAATAAACATCATTTAAATATGTTAAATTCGATTCATGTTCTCATTTACAAAATTCTGGCTATTATTTTAGCTTGTTTCCGAGAGCTCAGTTGTTTTTTATGGTATACTAAACGCAGTTCGCTGTCTTACTAGATAAAAATATATAGCATCGAAGCCAAAGAAAACTTTACCTGGCTATTCATAAGACATCGAAGATTCGAATCCTATAGAAATGGCCACTTCTGAAAAAAATTCCTTGCGATATTTCTGCGCCGCGTATTTATTGGATTTCTTTATTGTTATTTATTGGTGTTTCTTATTGAATGGTCTTACGAAGGCCACAAGAATGCCCCCACACTTCGCCTTTGTTCAATTCTTGCACCGATCGTGAAAGGCATCACGTGAAATTGAAGTCAACGTATGAAGCTGCAGGGGCTTTTTGTTTAAGTGCCTTGAGTGAAGACAACTTTCGAAAATATAGATTCTGGAAAATTGATATTTTTCTTTGTTGTGAAATTTTAATGCCAATCAAGATATATGTAATAGGTACATCAACAACAGTTTTATTCAGAATGCAACATGGGATGGACAGAATTACACTGAATAATCGATGGCGCTTGTGATGCAGTTGAAGGCAAAATATTCATATACATATATTTGGTATTTATATATTAAGCCCCATTTCTACGAAATATAAATAATTGGCCTTCGCTATTTCACAGAACGAACGAGATTTCGTAAATTTTCCAGATCACGTTTCAAGAATTTAGGTTTGATTGCATCATACATGACCTTGGGGCTGAAAGATAAATTTTGTTTCATGGACATCCAGTAACTTTTTTGGTAACCGAGAACTAAATAATTATGAAGTCTCTGTGAACTTTTGATTAAGTTTCCTCCTAACAATGCAACCGTGAATTTCAAATCCCCCCCTCAAATAAAAACAAAATTATTTCGTGTATGAATCTGAGGTGCGGCTTGTGTTTTTTCCACTTTTATTCTTCACTAAATGTTTTTTTCCACTTTTATTCTTCACTAAAGCTTGTCGGAAATTCAAATGGGGAAAAATCTACGGGAATAAAGGCTCCAATTTAGAACTGGTCACCTGATGCCTGCCTGACAGCTGCGCAGGATCCATTGAAGGTTCAGATATGCGGCCGGGGAAATATATTGCTGACAATGATTGCACTATATATTTAAGACCTGTTTCCATGTTATTTGTTAATATTAGGATATGTCGTTTAATGTTCTGTTTTCTTTAATTTTAATTTATAGCTTTTATGGATCTTGTTTGTTGTTATGTTCTTTTACTACATTTACACGCAGTCCATCATCGATGGATCTGTGGTTGAGAGTAATTCCTTTCTGACCAATAATACGATAAAAACCTTTTTAAAATCACACCATATATGAAAAAATTATAAACGCAATGCAGTTCTTAAGAAAGCATTACGCTTAAATTAATGATCGAGCATCGTGCCTGATGATAGCATTCTTCCATATCAATAATATTTCTGTGCCCATACATTTACACATTTCTATAGAATTGCGAGTGACTCCTTTGTTCATATACGACGCGTATTTCTAATAAATTCTGTAGTTTCTACTAAATTATATTTCTTCACACGACCATTTTTTCATCCAATTAATCGTCCGCTCCGTGATGTGCGGAGTTTCGATTTTTTTTCAGAACGTCGCTTTAGTTTTTCCCGCCTTAACAGTTTAACCTTGCATTCATGTTTCTTTCTCACCTTCTCCCTCACTTACGACCCTGAACTCGAGGGACTTCTTGTTAAGGTTACACTCTAATTATTATTATCGTTCAAAGCAACAAGGTTAGACCGTTATTATTGCTGTCATTCCATGCAACAAGGTTAGACCGTTATTATTGCTGTCATTCCATGCAACGAGGTTAGACCGTACTTATTGCTATCGTTCAATGCAACAAGGTTAGACCGTATTTATTGTTATCGTTCAATGCAACAAGGTTAGACCGTTATTATTGTAATCATTCCATGTAACAAGGTTAGACCTTAACCATTGTTATCATTCCATGCAACAAGGTTAGACCGTTATTATTGCTGTCATTCCATGCAACAAGGTTAGACCGTTATTATTGCTATCATTCCATGCAACAAGGTTAGACCGTTATTATTGCTATCATTCCAAGCAACAAGGTTAGACCGTGATTATTGTTATCATTCCAAGCAACAAGGTTAGACCGTGATTATTGTTATCATTCCATGCAACAATGTTAGACCGTAGTTATTGTTATCATTCCAAGCAACAAGGTTAGACCGTAATTATTGCTATCATTCCATGCAACAAGGTTAGACCGTATTTATTGCTATCATTCCATGCAACAAGGTTAGACCGTAATTATTGCTATCATTCCATGCAACAAGGTTTGACCGTACTTATTGTTATCATTCCATTGTATCGTAGTATTGCGTAGTAACCATTGTATTGCCATTCAACAAGGTTCCATTTATTGAAGAGAATATGCCAAGTTTAAAGAATATAGCATTGTTTTTCTCATGTTGTCTATAATCAAATTTATAATTGCCTTCATGGGCAATTAAAACCAGCGTTAAACGCATTCACTTGCCTGTATGTTAACAATTTATAGTACTGTTTTCAATAGCCTACAATTTGTCTTCAATTCTCGACTAGCTTCGTGCTGTTTAAAAATTTGTTTTCTCGATCCATATTCAACTGTCTTGAATCATGTGTTCAGTTTGCTTCACATTCCTACACAATTGGTGCTAGGCGAGAGCGCAATTGTCTTCTATCCTTCACACAATAGTTATTTGTCCATTACACTATAATTTGTCACAAATTGTGGTAAGATGCATCTAGCTTAAGTGCGTTTACAATAGATTCGCGGTGTATAGCACAAGGCTTTTCCCAGTATCCATTTTAAACAATTTTATCATTTGCACGCGTGTTTCCGGTCCTTCACATAACTATCTTGTCACACTCGCACAGTTGGTTGGCTCGTTGCACGGAAACCGGATCCCTTGTTACGCATCGGTAATTGAGTGATACTTATTTGCCTTACCAAAAAATGCAGTCCATATTCCATGTTAAAAGGAAAAAAAATTCAATAGGATCAGTTTCATTTGGTGAATAGATAGAACTAAAAAATTTTCACTGATTCAAAAAAATGCAAATGATAAAATGGCAATATATTCTTTCGGTGAAGAATAGAAGAATACGAGTAAAATAAAATGAAAATTTGTATCATTATTCACTTGAAGTCGATGCATTACTACAATCAAATCACTTCTGTAACGGTGCGAAATGACATCTTTCGTTAAATAATATCCGTGCATACGCATACCATGTACTAACATTTTACACATATAATACGTGTCTAATTCATGCTGCGATACCATGACAGTTGGTGCAAGCAAACAACCTGCCTGTAAAGGACGTGTTGGGCTCGTCCGACCCCTACGTCAAAGTTTGTCTCTTGCCAGATCGCAAGAAGAAGTTCCATACCAAAGTTCATCGGAGGAACTTGAACCCTGTCTTTAATGAGACTTTCATCTTCAGGTTGGTTATTTTGCGCAAGTTTTTACAATCTTCAACTGTAGTGCGCTCCTGGTCATCAAAAATTTCCAGTATTTGAGGGAAACAAAATGAAAATAAACATGTGTTTGGAAATCGAAAGGGCATACCGCAGATTCTTCTCACATTTATCAGGAACTAATTCTTATTAGAGCAGATATCTCAATATTGCATATTTTTATAGTGATTCTTTCTTTAATTTACATTTCAGTATTTCCGGAATTCCCGTAGCTCAAAATTATAGAGGCAAATTATTTCAATACATATTAAATCCATTCATACAATCATTTTCCTCGTGACTTGAATTGACGCGAAAAGCTAATGCAAGAGTCACAGCTCCATTACAGCTTACATGTCGCGCCTGGCATCGCATGACTGCCCTGAGCAGATCAAACCTGAGACTATACTTTCAAAACTCGCTAAGTGAACGTAAGTACTTACGCTCTATTTTCTTGTCTATGATTGGTAGATTTTGCTTGAAAAGCCGTCAATGATTGGCTGATGAACTTACGATCTCTTAACTTTTTTTGAAAGTATAGGACCTGAGAGCTTATCTTGCAGTGCCTCACTGATGGCAGACTCAAGGAAATATAAGGCCTAAGAGCTGTGTAAAAATTCACGTGTAATTCTAAAGGAGAGTTTAATGCGGATAGGCTGAGCCCAGGCTCGCTCAAATGAAGCTGCGCTCTCCGTTGCCGCTTCTTTGTACAAAAGATTTCCTTTCACTTAGCGCTCGTGTATTGCGAGAACACTTTAAAGGTTATTGGTAAGTTTTTTTTTCAAATAACTCAATAAGTAATAAGTAATTTGAGAAGATTCTTTAAAGATACTATGAATTTTTGTGGAGTTTTCTTTGCTATTAAGTTTTTAGTGAATTTGCGATTCAATGAATTTTTGTGGAGTTTTCTTTGCTATTAAGTTTTTAGTGAATTTGCGATTCAAGCAAACGAGTGATATTATTACGTAATTTGAGAATAAATACGCGGTCAGGAATTGTTGTTAATCATAATAGCGATCGCAACGACATCATAGGCCAGGTGAGGCCACGTTATCATAGGCCAGGTGAGGCCACATTATCATAGGCCAGGTGAGGCCACGTTATCGTAGGCCGGGTGAGGCCACATTATCATAGGCCAGGTTAGGCCACGTTATCAGAGGCCAGGTGAGGCCACGTTATCATAGGCCAGGTGAGGCCACGTTATCATAGGCCAGGTGAGGCCACATTATCATAGGCCAGGTGAGGCCACGTTATGACTGACCACAGCCTTTTTATCACCAGCTTGATAGAGTGTTTTCTCACATTCAGGCTATAATTATAGGCAGATTTTTAGATTTTCCCTTTTAGATTTCGTGGATTAAATAGATGAGCAAAATTCTTTTGCCGCACTTTAGGTCATCAGAATTCGCCTTCATTGTGAAAATTGCATGCATTATCGTGAGCGAACAAACAGAATGTACAGTAGTCGAACATTTATGATCCGCAACAGAACTTTTCGTTGAATGCACTTGGAGACCCAAACCTACTTGAATTTTTTTAAGCTGTTGTGGAAAAGCTACGCAAAAGCTTTCAGGGATTGTTCTTGTAATTGTTTGTACTCTCGGAGAGTCTATTTCTTTGTATGTAGGGAACTCGAGCGTCAGATATCGAAATAATTTTATCTCTATGGAAATTTTTGCTGACATTGATTATTTTTAAAGATTGAATGACACTTTAATATACTGTTATAGACATGTATGTATTGGCCATTACCATCACGATTTACGAGAATATATCGTCATCCGTGTGACGATAAAATAAATACAACAATAATGTATATTAAAAACAAGAACCTTGTGACCTCGAACGCGGCTCTATAGAGTGAACAAACCTCCACTTTAAACCCATTTTAAAAAAATACACACGTGCTGCGAGCGTTTGGGACCTCCAGGTCACCATAAGCCGCTGAAATCTGCAGCGCTGCGGCCAATGAATCATTTGAGCCAGACAAGAAATCGCGCGCTAGGAAGAAATTGACTAGTTGATACACGAAATAGTTTACTTCCGGACTTTATATTCTAAATAAAAATGTTTAAGTTAAAAGAAATAACTGCCTGGAAAGAAATTAGTTGGTTTAAACGGAAGTGCTATGAAGGAAGTCAACAGTTGATACACAAACTCGCATTTCTCGAGAAAAATTATTCACTTTTTCAGAAGTTCGTCTGGATATAAAATGTGTATCACTTGAAGCCGAACACCTATTTGATGTGAATTAAGTTATCAGGTCATATCGAAAGTTTTCTAAGATGAGAGAAAGTCATCAGTTGATAGAACAAATTATTTGGCTGAAAAGAAAGACGTTCTGCATCGAAGTAAGCCTTGCAGCAATAAAGGAAATCTTTCGGTCGGAAAACTGTGTCTGGAACTGTTTGGTTTGGCCTGGCTTGCATTTTTTGACGCTGATTCTCCTGTGTTGGTCGGGAAAAGGATATAAAGAATGGGGAAAAATATTGTGCCACTGAATGTTGCCTTCAAAGCCGGATGCTGCCTTTCTAATGTCTGTTGAAATTTTTTTAGAAAATATCTAGAATTCACAAGAAAATGTAAACGCATTAAGTAACATTTCAAGGTATGAAGTGGATCTTTTCAACCTATTTATTTTTCGTTTCATTCAATGTAAATTCACGTTTATAGACTATGTTGTAGGAATTATTCTGTACTCCATTGTATTAATTTAAACATTGATGTGTGGTGCAGGTTGTGATGCGCAACGTGCAGTACCACTGCCAGCAGAGTGTGGAGCTCACCTACACCATGGACATACTCACCACCAAGCAGGTCTGGGTCTTATTTTATCACATGTTATGCCTATAGTCTAAGGTGGGCAGTAGCGCGCTACATTTTCAGTCGCGGTAGCGGTAGCGGCGCTACATTTAGAGTATGTAGCGGTAGCGTTAGCGCCCGCTACATTTAAGCAATTGTAGCGGTAGCGTTAGCGCCCGCTACATTTAGAGCATGTAGCTGTAGCGGAGCGGCCGCTGCATTTCAAAGTGTTCATCACTATAGGCCCAGCTCTGCCTATAGTGATGACCACTCAATGATTTATCTTATCAAACTGATCTGTAGCATTCAATTCTCAGCAGAACGATATAAAATTATTGTATTATCGACTTAATTACTAACTTGTTGACTTTTTAATTTTTTACTTGATAAAATACGTGGTCGTTATACTGTTCACTGCTTGAGTATTGTATACAAAAAAAAATTTTCACACAGACATCACATTAAAAAAAATGCCGCATCAGCGGTGAAACAGCGATCTCGTTATAACGAAAGATCGACGGCGCTATGAGGTTCGTTATAGCGTGACAAGGCTGCACATCAGCGCGCGGTGCTACGTCGTCCTTACGTCGGAGTGCAAACAATGCGCGGTTAAAGCTGCGCTTCATATCGCAGGCTGCGCTTCATATCGCAGGCTGCGCTTCATATCGCAGGCTGCGCTTCATGGCGCGGTATCGCAGGCTGCGCTTCATGGCGCGGTATCGCAGACTGCGCTTCATGGCGCAGTATCGCAGGCCGCGCTTCATGGCGCGGTATCGCAAGCCTCGCAGTATCGTCTCGTCAAAATTCCTTCGCTGTTCTCGATGCTCTTCGATGACTGGCGAAGCCATGGAGAAAAAGTGTGAATTCGATTTTTGGAGTTAATAAAAAAATGAGTACGTTTTTATGGGTCGTTTGAGATGTGATGATGCGTGTGAGGTTATGATGGTGCGTGCGGGATTGTGAGAATGTGTGTAAGGTTTTACGTTGCTTCTAATGCTAGATGGTTACCAGATTGCAAATATTCCTTCGAGCCTGTTATTATTTTCAAGCAACTTCAACGACGTCTTCAGGTTGGTTCGTAAGGATTGTCATGTCATGTAGTCATATACTTGTTGTGATGCCCCAAAAATTAAATATGATTTTTACGATATTATTTTTAGTGGGCGATTGTCATATTGATCATCTTGAGTGATGATGATATCTCCCGAAGATGGTACTATTAACGCGTATCGCTCCGATGTCTGCTGGATTGTTTAGTTGAGTATAAGATTGTTTTGAATTGATCGTACGAAAGTTTTGTTCGAAATTTAGTTCCTGTATCCAAATCTATGATCTGACAAAGGAATTATTTCCCTGTTCTTCCATCTAAGTTTTCAACGACTTTTCCAGAGTTAGTCTCTTCAGTAAGCTATATCGTTTAGGTTTTAAAGAACTTTTTATGACCGAATCCTAAATATCGACCCACTTACAGAAATAAATTCGTTTCACTGGATTACTGCTTCAGTTCTCACATAAGATCAATCAATTTAAAAACTGACCTAATTTTTAATCTATCTAACAGATGAAATAAACTTTTTTTCACATCTTCAGAGCAAATCCTGTGCCATGACAGCATGTACACGTATACTAATTCGAGTTATATAACCTCCTTGTACTTGGGCGTGAGTATATGTGCATTTGCAAATTCAAACCAAAAGTTACTACTATTAATCATTTAGTGCATTTTTTGTAGACCTCTTTGGTGTCTATTTTTGCCACTTGAACTGGAAGCCAACGAGGGAAATATCGAGCTTTGGTGTTGAGGGGAGATCCGCTCGGCGAGCTCTCGACTCGGCACTCCAGATCTCAACGGAGGTCGACAACCGCCAACTGGATCACCGAGATCGATGTGTTGCGCCGCGCATTGCAATTCAATAGCAGCTCCTATATGATTTAATGAAGCATCTTATCAACGGAAGAATGGCTTCTCGTCGGTGCAACTCGTTTTTTATGGCCCGTGGCCCGTTAGATCCATCACATGTATGTGGGGCAAACCGGGAACTGGGTTAACGACAGATTATCACGATTGATTCAAATATTGAAAGGACGATATGAATGATACATTGAAGCTAGGAATTTTGCTTCAAATACGTTAAGGGACTTTCGTTTGAAGTTTTAGTAAGAAGCTTCATTTGTTCGATGGAGCGATGAAACAGCTCAATTAGCCATCCAACAAATTCTGCGCAAGGCACGCGCGATTCTAGTACAGTTTATCAAAATAAATTTTTACTGGAACATAACTGCTGAGGGCTCTGTTGTAAAGGAATCAGAGATGACCAATAGACGTTTTTCACCCGACAAGTGCCACTACATTACCTCGACGTCAGGCACACGCCCGTCTGTTTGCCGAGTTCATGTCACGTTGAGCACGAAGCGATTTTTGCCGTGTGCCTGAGTGGCGAACCCTGTATATTTCGCTGGCAAATAAGCCACAGCAATATTTGCTTTCTATTGGAGACAATGCACCAGACGCATCCTGTAATCGGAGCGCACTCTTCCGAACAATGAATTGAGACAAATGAAATGACACTTAAACTGAGCAATGTGTTTCATTTTCTGCGTGTCTCGGATCCGTGCACAAGCGATATCGATCACAGGGGTTTAGTGTTATTCGAATTTTATCGTAATTGATAAGCGAAAATCTATTTTCACCGACAAATATTTTCTCTATCGCAAGTTTTCCCCTAATAATTATTGTTCTCTATAGAAGCATTGGTACCAAATAAGTACACTTCAAAAATTGTCCTGAAAAAGTCAATACATTTTTCAGGATTTAAAAAATTAGAATAAATTGGGAGACAATTTGATAGCAGATCAATCACCCATAACCTCACTTTCAGATAACCACTGTAGACTACTTCTGGGCGCTAAATTTCTTCTCATCTTTCTCGCTTCCCTGCCAGAGATTGCTCCATATAACCGACCACTTTTGAGCAGTGAGCTGCATGAGGTTTGCTAGCCCCGAGACCAGAAGACATTACTGGTCTGCCTTACTGCCCTAGAGTTCTCTCGTAACCTCGTTAGTTGCAGTGGCTTCCTTGCAACCTAATCTCGAATAACGGACCAGTCTCACGGCCTCCGTATGTAACACGGTCATAAATTGCAACTCTGATTTAGAAGCTTCGTTGAGGCCGCAACAACTGAATTAGAAGCAAATCTTTCATGGCCAAGAAACGCAATTAAACTTTCAGGATTTTTAAAACGTGTCCGATGCTAAAGCACAGAGGCCTGATTTTTTTAATTAAAGCACCGCATGCTTTAGCACGAGCAGCGATCATGGATAATAACATGATGGGATACAGATACAGAATATAGATACATAATCGCAAATTTGAAGTGCAGTTCCACTTGCATATTCTTATTGATAACAGCATAGTAAAATTGCATATTTTTCTCTGAAATCAAGCATGGGTTATTGTTCTATAACACAATTGCTGCCTGTTGAGCCGATTTTGCAAGGAGAAATTCCCTATGCTCAAGTTTCCAAAAGTTTTTTTATGGTCAAAGTTTCTGAGTAGTTTAGTTCAAGGTCTTACCAGGAGTAGATGATGTTAATGATTAAGTTCAAGACGTTACCATGACTAGATTATATTAATGATGAACATACAATATGCCGTAGCATGAACCGAACTCACTAAAATATTTCACTCCGGAGTTATGTCTGAACTTATAAGTAAGGAAATGAACGACGAAATAAGCTTCGTCACCATGGAAACGGACTGCTGAAGGTCTGAAAATATAAATTACTTATAGCGTCCATGTGAAATTGTGCTTTCGCTTTCCTTCTTAAATTAAATGGAAGGATACTCTCATATATAGCGTACGGATGCACACAGACTTAAAAACTCACAGGAACTTAAATGAGTTTTCTTTGATTTTCATAACTAGAACTAAAATAAAAATAATTACAAGACATCAGCATGATGTGAGAGTGATGCTGCAGTGAAAGAAAACACATTATTATTATTATTATTTTTGAATTATGGAACTTCGAAACTCGCTCTTTTCAAAGCTTGAAGAGACTGCGCACCTTCAATCGTGAAAACAGTTCGTTTTTATATTCAAATTCTGGTCTTTTGCTTCCTATTTATAATTGAGTTTGGTAAATAGTGAGCATAGTTTCAGCTGGAAGCTTCATATTTTTTATTAACTTGTTAAAGCACATGACGAAAAATCTGACGAAACTTCGTTAATAAATAAAGGCACCTTGTGAGTGCTAATTGAAACAAATTAGCTTCGTCGACGATGAAATAAACAATAAAATTCTGATGAAAATAGCTGTATAATGAGACGGCAGATGACGACAGAAAACAGCAAGTCATTTTTAAGTACACGTATCGTATGAAAGAAATATGAGACACAACTGCTAACAGTAACGCAGAACATTAATAACATACGCAGAACATTAATAATAAACCAACGCTCATTGAAATTGTTGACTCAAAACAATATTTAATTTTAACATAAAACTAACAGCAGCATATTCAATATAAAATTAACATTGAGCAAAATTTAAATCAAGGAAATTTTGTTTGGGTCCATTTTAGCGTAATTGATTTTTTCAAATTCGCAAGTTACTCGTAGAATATATTACATTTTTATAAACCGGGAATGTATTAATTCTCTGTTCCTAAGCGAAGCAATTAAAAGCAGATTGAAGGGTACGTCTAAAGATCGTAACATCGACTGAAAATTTTTAAAAATTCAAATTGGAAATTTTTTTAAATTATTGTCACGAACGAGGCTCGATCCATTAATTTTTACGAGTCGACTTTTCATTAAGTTCCAAGTTTCAGGCAGCCTGCACAATTCTATCTGTTCGTCAAAAAATAATATTGTTAATATAATAATTAGCACAAACAATAGAACGCAATTAATTATTAAATAACGTGAAGAACGCGTTCTTTGTATTTAATGGCACACCTTCTCAGATTAAGATATTTGTTGATTATTTAAGAAAAACAAATCGTTGCCAAATTACCAATTAATGAAAAGGTACACTAACGCATTGCATGCGACAATCCGAGAAGTTTACTCAACCCTTGGCTGTCGTGATTTACGTTATTGATAAAATTAAAATTGTGCTTGCCGTCGAAAATCAAGCCAAGATATGATTTTAATCATCTACGGAATCCAAAATTTCTCCAGTAAATGTGATGTCTCCTAAAATGGGAACTGGTCTGGCAGTAAAAAACATAACTCAGTACTCACTGCAGTGAGTGACAGAGAGCGCATTTCTCGTCGACGAAAACGTGAAGTCACGGACGGACAGACAGACGGACGGGCTGACATGGCGAGCACAATAGCGCCTTTTTTCCATAAATGAGAAACTGCGCTAAAACATCACTTAGTTTTGTATGCGGGAGCCCTCAATTTGTTCGCTGAAAACTATCTTGTTCACAAATCCACCGACACTCTGTAAACGATCGCAGAATTCATAAAAAGCAATAATAAGATTTAAAGATATAATCATTTATTTATATTTTCTGATTTATTGCAAGATTTTTTTATTGTTTGTTCAACAAGAAATCTAGAGTTCAAAAATTTATTCTACACGATAGTCGGAACGTTGTGCATTAATATTTCAAAGCCATAAAATGACAAACATTAGCAATAAAAATTTTTGTAAGAATCTTTCTAGACGGTTTCTAAAGTCCAGCAAGCTAGAGAATATAATTGTTCTCAATTGTCCATGCGGCGTGTTAGAATATATTTCAACTTGCCACCTAGCATTATTTATCTGCTATCTTTTTGTTGATGGCATATTAATTAATATTCTCCACGAAACACAAAATCGTTTTCAAACTAATCGCGATCGTGGCATCGCGTTGTGGCTGATGTAGCACATCACTCTGTCTATAAAATTGCGATTCTCAATAACGTCTACACAAAACTTTTCACAGCCTTCATATAAGGCATAGCCAAGAAACTGTTCGCGCTTGTATTATAAGTTAGAATTTAACACTCTTTACTGATTGTGTTTATGCTGATTTGTGTGAAGGAATATGCTCATTGGGGCTGCATCAGAGTAAACACGATATGATCGTAGCCAAAATTACAATGATGACATGTTTGAAATATAAGCTGAATAGGAAAATTATCGGCATACGGCAACTTTTTCTCCTGTGCACGAGAATTTTTATTAGAATGTATCGAATCCAAAAAGTTCATCTCTGCCCAGGTTGAAGGTAGTTTACTGTATCCGGCGAACGGACTTTGCACGTCATTTCGTGATTGGTTTCGCTGAGTATTGTTATGGGAGCTTTTGTTCGACTAATGATCTTTCACGGTCCTATTGTCCCAGAAATGCAATTGACTGAACTGAGGGGAGCGCTCGGTTGCTTCACAAGCTGTCGTCGTCCCGTGACTGCCAATACTTCGTGTTCAGGCCAAACGAGTTGCCGCGTGTATAAAAAGAACCTATGTTTATCATAGGGTAGTTATTTGGAGACATTCGTCGCTTGTTGTATACTTGCATACGCTACATTCGACTTGCATACGAGACACTTGGGAACTACAGGAAGTACGCCATTGGATTTTTACCCTTTCCATGCATAAAGGAGTTTAGAAAAGATATTTTAATCAATTCGTATTATATCTACTTGAAAGTTGTCGCAGTATACAAGCTCTTCTTTTGTGCCATTCTTTTGAGCAAAATTTTAATCTGAAGCTTGCGGGTAATTTCATATACCTGCCAACCAAACTTCAATTCGTCATTGAATCCCTTTCAGAATTTAACTATCGTTGAATAACATGGAGGCTAAAGCAGCGTCCATTTGTAACACCCAAATGCTTTCGGTGACATTTCATTGTGTTATTCCCACATAAATTACGAAAGTCTATTAGTAGGCGGAGGCGCCACATTCACAGCCACAGCCTGCAGAACGAAGGGTCCCGTGGGAAATGTACCTGAGAGCCGCACGCAGCCTCGCGTTGGTTCCACCCCTCGGTTCATACAGGAGGACATTGAACCTATAATTGCGAGCGTGGGTCGAGAGACGGAAAAAATAAAGCGAAATTTGCATTCTTGAGCGCGTGGTCCCAGAAGTATTCTCTTAAAGGCTATAGAATTTTCTCTGGCAAACGTAAATCAAGGGTTCGGAATAAATTAGGTCGATGAAAGTCTTGAAGTTTTGCAAATTATTTTCACCGTTGGGAATTCCTCGGAACATATATTTTACGTGTCATGTAAATGAGGTTTGGCTGCATCGTTAGATACCATAATGCTGCTCTTTCGAAGAATTTGTGTCATGACAGTATTCAGCACTCTTGTCATGACATGAAAGTGACATTATTTAACCCTCCTAGTTGGAACTATCCTTGTTCTTTCACTGCTAATGTTCCCTCGTATTATTACACCGTTTGCTTAATAATGTTGAAACTAATATAATAATAATGCAAATTTATTGCTCCTATTCATGTTTTTTTGGGGTTCTTCTTACTTATTTTTGTAAATCGGCATAAGCTCTATTGTGACACCAAAGACTGGTACACTTGTGGGAAGGTAAGAATATGGCACTACCTTGAATCTATGTAACACGCGTGATTTCAACCTATCTATCAATTTTTTTATTAATCAATTATCACGTGAATTCTCTCAATGAGTTCAATTACCTGGAGCAATACTATCACTACTCGCCTATAATTAAGTACACTTAGCGGTCGTTTTCTCGTTTATGATTGGTGGGTTTAACTTGAAAATCCATCAGTGACTGGCTGATAGAGTTACGAACTCATAACTATTTTTGATAGTATACTACCCTGGGCCATACTTTCAAAAAAGTCATGAGATCGTAAGTTCATTAGCCAATCATTGACGGTCTTTCAAGCAAAATCCACCAATCATAGACAAGAAAATAGATCGTAAGTACTAACGTTCACTTAGCGAGTTTTGAAAGTATGGCCCCTGACCAGTAACAATAAATTGTATGTGACACGCACGCGTGCAGCAAGACGTGCGTGACCTGGGCGAGCTGATGCTGAGTCTGTGTTACCTGCCAACGGCTGGTCGTCTCACCGTCACCGTCATCAAGATGAGACGTCTGCGAGCCTTAGACATCACCGGCTCCTCTGGTGAGTCTCGACATCACCGGCTCCTCTGGTGAGTCTCACCATCACCGGCTCCTCTGGTGAGTCTCGCCATCACCGGCTCCTCTGGTGAGTCTCGCCATCACCGGCTCCTCTGGTGAGTCTCGCCATCACCGGCTCCTCTGGTGAGTCTCACCATCACCGGCTCCTCTGGTGAGTCTTGACATCACCGGCTCCTCTGTGGTGTTAACTGCGCTCTAATGAAGAAACGACCTCCTAACATTAATTATTAACTAATTATGCACTACCAGGAGTAAATGCACCCTTTGGCGAGCTGAGTGCACGCCTCAAAGATTTCGACGTGTAAAAATAACTTATTTGCTCTTTTATTTGATTAAAACAAAAGCTAATTAACTATACACGATGTTGGTGTTTAATCAATCTCCCTGCTGGCTGAGCTGTCATCGTTCGTGACGTGCGTTGAACCTATTTCAGAATTTCGATTCCCGAAGCGAAAATTAGATGTCAAATGGGAGTTTTCCGATCAAAATTTTTGCTCAATTTCGAGCGCTGGCCACTCGAATATTTTGTAAAACTTATGCTCCAAATTATTGGACTTTCATCCGCACTTTAAGTTTGCGAATGAGAAAAGAAAAACAAATCAGGAATGCCGATGGAAATTTAGCTTGATGTCAGCTCTCATTTTTCAAAATCATTTCTCGACAGTTCTCGTTCTTGATTTCAGTCTCTTTTTTTTCGGCTCGCGCTCTCTTTAGTTGTATTGAAGAGCCTTCCAAGATGCGATGAATATTGTAATGAAAATATATTGTGGATGGCTTCAGTTTTATGAGCAACTCGAATAGCCGAATGAATATTGATAGTGAGGTTTTCTCACATAATTTTCTAGCCAGTTTTTGGATAGTCGATGCATTTTCAGCATCAAGTGTTTTCCAGTTCTAAGAAACGACATTGGAAAATGACCATATTTGTGTCCGGAAGCGCCGGTGCTTCAATAAGATCCAGGAATTTATATTCGTCAACAGATCCGTACGTGAAGGTGATCGTCATGTGTCAAGGCAGGCGCATCAAGAAAAAGAAGACGAGCGTCAAGAAGGCCACGCTAGACCCCGTCTACAACGAGTCCCTCGTCTTCGACGTGCCAAACGAGAACGTCGACGATGTCACTCTACTCGTTAAGGTCATCGATTACGACAGGTGAGTATCATTTAATGATGGCATCAACAAAAGTGATATGATGGATGACAATCCTCGATGTTAATCATTGAGCCACGAGTTTTTAATTCAATTTTATTGTGCGATAATTTGATTTAATATTTTCATTTCTCACGCTGAAACAAGATCAGTATTTCAGTAATTAGTTTGAATCAATAGGTATTACTTGAAATCAAATTATAAGGTAAACCTGCTGAACTACAAAAAATTTAATTGAATAAATATTACGTTAGGCACTGAATTAGTATTGTGGAGGAAATTGGCGAATTTCAAAACTAGTAGAATGAAACATTTAGATTTTAGATTTATTGTCCGTTTGTTGCAGTTAAGATTTGGCGAAATTCCCAATCACACGTCCTGGCTTTCCAGAGCTGTTCTTTATTGGTTAAATTAATGACAACTCCATGTGAAACTCCCCCATAGTCTATCCATTATATACCTCCCCCTGAAGAGTCTATCCATTATATAATATACGGTCGGTATTTCTCCCTTGCCCTGAAGTCCATGAAGCCGATTTACAAGTTACTAAGTGAGTTTTCCAGCAAGAAATAATGTCGTTTGTAATTAAAGTGGATGCTTTATTCATAATTTCCTCGCTCGTTCCTTACATCTCATGATGTAATGTTGTTAAACTCGAGCAACTCGTTATAATGAGTGCAACGGCTCTAATGGCATTTTTTTAATCGAAAATGTTCCGTAATTTTAGATAGCATTCTCTACGCAGACTCTAATTAAAGGCCACTCTTGGCATAATTCTGCGTCGCTCGCGTCTTCGATATTGGCTACGGAATTCGAGAGCGCAGGTCTCGCTAAAATGATGAGTAATTCGGCTCCTTCCACAATGATTTTAAAATTTTCGTGCTTTAGCAATGTGCATAAAAATTCTTAACGTTCCAGCTCGCGGTTCAATCGAGGTGCTCGTTTGGAACATGCCTTGTATTTCTTTGAATAAGTTGAAAGCAATGTGCATGTTTAAGTAATTGCCTCAAAATTTTAAGCAGAATTTTTACAATGCAGTCCACTACACTGAATTCTAGGGAGAGCTTATGTTTAATTTAGATTCTTTTATATAATCAAGCTTAAGAGGCATATCTTGCAGGCTTGGAGGAACGAATTTCACATCTAAATACCTTATCTGTAAATAATGGTAACATCGAGTTATCTTTAATAAAAATATTGAATAAAGCAAACTATTTCAGGCAATAAACAAAAATATTGAGTATTTTACGCCAAAATAATATTAAAAATATTATTTATTTCGGAAGGCTGGGAGCGAACGAGTTGCTGGGAGCTGTTGTGATCGGGTCCGCGGCGCTGGGGCTGGGCAGGGAGCACTGGCAGGAGATGCTGGAGTGCCCACGACGCCCCGTGGCCCAGTGGTACCCTTTGCTGGACAGCGTGCCCGACAACCTGCCTACCTCCCCACTCAGGGGCAAGCTGTCCTCCTGCAGCAGCAACAATTAGAAATTAACTTGTGGAGGTAAGTAAGTCATTGTCTTACAGATGCAAAACTTACGAGTTACTAGACGAATTTTAGATGGTTAATTTTGAGATACAGACAAATTTACGCTGGTCATTGTTATGGATGTAGGAGTGCTTTTCTAACCAAAATTTTATTTTCAATTGATAACTCGCAGGTTTGCCCGGTGTTGCGCAGGATAGATTATCCCAGCAATTTGAGAATAGCGTTATCCCAATCCCATCATCCGAATCCATTTAATAATATTGAAATAAAAATACGGCAATTTAAAAAAAGTCGTGTTCAAACTCACAGTCGGCCCAGAACATGCATTCATGTCCAGTCTAGGAATTTGAGTGGTACTTGAACTTTTTATTTTATTGATAAAACTACAACTTCCAGAATAAAAATATTGTTTCTATTCGTCAATCTTCCCTGTCTCATGATTTCATCATTAAAAGTAAAATTTATCACCATGTAATATCAAGACAGGTAATATCGTATCAAGTAATACCGTGGATGCGCACCCGCAGTTTCTGTACATTTCTTATGCAAGGCTTTAAAAAAATAATAAATTAAGTCATTAACTTATCGTCAAAGTTTTCGCTTAACCATGAGGCAAGAATTAGTATTGGTTTTGGATATGTGCGAATACAGTATCATACCTACCGTATGTGTATTCTTAGTTATTTAATTGCTATAATTTTCTTTCCGTCTTGCGTGTTGTTGTGTGGGTCAACGTATTATGCTAGATCAAACTGATGGATCTAAAATATCCTGAAACTACCATCTGATCAACTTGTGTATCGTAATCAATTTGCCAAGATAAAAATCTGCCAAAATTAACCCCTTCGATACATCAGTTTAAAATTTCCACGATGAGCCTTAGTGAGATTCCTAGCCTGTACAAAGTTTTCGCTTAAATACAAGACGTTTTTCGAAAGTTTGATCCTCAATCCCCAGGAGTTTGGTTGCTTTAGTATCTAAAGGTAGAGAGTGTGTGTCTACTGACAGGCTTAATCGGCCTTATTTGCTTCCTAGTGTTGCTCACTCTCACCTACGCAGCGTGGTTCATAGACAGAGACAACCCTTACTTCACGAGCCGTGAACGAAAAAAGCTGTTAAAACAGCAACGCAAGGAATTACTAAATGAATAGAAACTTCGAGTCCATGAAGAGGAAAGACGATTAAGAGAATTGTAGGATCCAGGAAGCGATGAGCTACTTCTAGCTTGGATGCGCGGTGAAGCCGCAAAGCCTGTCGCTGGAATGGCAGTTGGGACGGTAAAGGGCGATTAGGCTGATGATGGAGATTCTTGTTCCCCCGGGAATTTGTGGCAAAGTAATATCCTAAAGTAATTAAATTCGAGATAAATGATTGCTAGTTCACAATCAAATACCAATGATGGTAACTGTCCATTAGGTTTGGCTGCTAAAAGTATCCTGTCTGAGTAAAATGCATAACCAAGAATTGATTACTTGGATGATGAATCGTTCTCTGACGACTCGGGCTCATTTGGAAGTGACGAGGCCCTTCTGAGTGACGACAGCTCGGACGGTAGCGTAGACATTTCAACTGATGAAGAAGATGAAACTCTGAGATCTTGTCTTGTGCTTGGCTTTTTTTGAAGAGTTTGTAAATACTTCGTAGACGAGTGAGTTTTTGGTCTACGAATTATTTTCATTAAAAAATGTCTTCATCACCTACAAATATTGATGCGTATATTCTTCCAGCATACAGGAAATTAAATCTTCAAGTAATATCGTAAGCAATGTCACTATACTAATTTTAATTTATAAGCTTTGCATCTAAATAATCGTAGTCTACACTCGCTCTACTGTGTATCTTGAATGACGGATATCAAATCAAAAGCACAACTGATACGATGAACAACAATTTTCATGCGTATACGGTGTCCATTGTTACGAGCATCAAACATTCCAGCTTCAAACAAGTTTCTGTACAAGTCTCATCCAAAGGCTAACGCTTTTCCGACTTTCAGGTCGGAAAATCTGCGTATTTTTTAGTTTTTATTTTCATGGCCTTACATACAATCGTAAAAATGCGAGATTTTGAAAAGAAATATACATTTTTTGTTCTGCTTTGTTTTTTGAATATTTGGAACATGAAAGATGGAACATGAAATAGATCGGCAATTTATTAATCAACTACAATTATTCAGGTTGGTGGATATATTGACTCAATTTTAGTCAATAAAAATTGAGATATAGTGAGGAAAGATTCTTGCATAAAACTCGATGAAATTCTTTTGAAATTGGGTAATTTTTAAGCGTGCCGTTAGTTTCGCATGAGTTGACATGGTTTCATTTCATTTTATGGTTAATTTTAGTAAAAAGTTCAACCTCGAATATTTTAAAATTTTTATTCCGATATTGAACCGCACATTTCCATTCGCTTCAACGTTATTGCACCCAATATCTTCTTAAATTATGCGCGTTTTCCAATGCTTATTTTGATTTTCAACAATATATTTTCTTCTCAACAAATTATTCACTGAAGCCTGCTGGTCGTCTACCGAAACTTCATCACAGCAGCGATTTATTTTGACGACTCTTAGATGCCTGTACTTATGTACGTCACTCTGGTGCTGCGCGCTAAAAACACAGTCTTGTTTATGGCAGGACTTTAATTAACATATATACGAGTATAAGATGAGTTTTTTACCAACGCCTGTGCGACTTATAACAGTTATACGTGATGCGCTACTTGAATTCTCGATCAATGTAAAGAGTAGCATGTTTGAGAAGTGTCCAAGAACATATGAAGATATTTTGTTGATTGGTGATTTTAATAATTGCAAACCAATTTATATCAACGTATTCACTTCTTTATTAATAATAAAATTGTTGTTTCGAGAATTCTAAAATAAGTAGAATGTTTAATTTTTTTGATAGAAAACTTATTGCATTTAATCAACTGCATTGCGTCTCTCCACTGAATAACAAACATAATGGAAATCACTAATATCATGTCAACTTTATTGTCATTAAATCATCTGCGTTTGCAATTAGCTATTTAGTGTAGAAATCAATTATACTTCAGAGGCCGCAAACGAGCTCATCATTTCCCCCCACACATAATATGAGTAGGCAGCGTGTAGGTAGCTATAGTCCCATGGACGGAAGATATGTGCTAAAATAATAACATTAACTTTAGTTGTAACTCTAATTAGTAGGAATTTTATTGATGATGGAGAACGAAACTATTACAAGTAATATAACGAAGGAATCTTTTCGTCTGTGGAGTTGAAAGTCGAGAGCTCAGGAAACGTTGTTATGCACTTTTTGTTAACATTAATTAAGCAAAACATTTCTATTATTTAGCAGGTAAGTTAATGATAACGTTTTATTTTTATCGCTTGTTTGATCTGATGACATGCCTTGTTTGCAGGCAGGCAGGTAGCTGCGTGATGCCGCATCTGAGCAGGCGCCATCAACAGGCGCCACGGTCATGAGCGCTGTTTTTTACAATCTTTTAAAAATTTTCCATCAATGTGGCGCAAAATAAATTAAAGATTTTGAATTTCATTACAGCCAATGTCAAAATTATTAAAATAGATTGAAAAAAGAGAACTTGACTCAGGGATATTATTTCAACTTTATTGTCATTAAATCATCTGCGTTTGCAATTAGCTATTTAGTGTAGAAATCAATTATACTTCAGAGGCCGCAAACGAGCTCATCATTTCCCCCCACACATAATATGAGTAGGCAGCGTGTAGGTAGCTATAGTCCCATGGACGGAAGATATGTGCTAAAATAATAACATTAACTTTAGTTGTAACTCTAATTAGTAGGAATTTTATTGATGATGGAGAACGAAACTATTACAAGTAATATAACGAAGGAATCTTTTCGTCTGTGGAGTTGAAAGTCGAGAGCTCAGGAAACGTTGTTATGCACTTTTTGTTAACATTAATTAAGCAAAACATTTCTATTATTTAGCAGGTAAGTTAATGATAACGTTTTATTTTTATCGCTTGTTTGATCTTATGACATACCTTGTTCGCAGGCAGGCAGGTAGCTGCGTGATGCCGCATCTGAGCAGGCGCCATCAACAGGCGCCACGGTCATGAGCGCTGTTTTTTACAATCTTTTAAAAATTTTCCATCAATGTGGCGCAAAATAAATTAAAGATTTTGAATTTCATTACAGCCAATGTCAAAATTATTAAAATATATTGAAAAAAGAGAACTTGACTCAGGGATATTATCCGAGCAAAATATACTGAGCATTTCGAAGATTTTTGCAAGCATTGCCGATCAGGACACGACGACAGTGTCCCGTTGGATCATTTTGATCTACATTTACTCAATACTTTTGGAGACACGTTGATCGACCCCATTTCGAATTTTGATATGACGAGGCTCGAGAGAAGCCTAAATACTTTGTGCTGACGAACATGAACTTTTAAATAAGGAGCTGTGAACGAACAAATGATAAATTTCGCCGCGTTGATGTACCCTTATGAAGCTTTGCTTGTGATCCTGAAACCACTATGTGTATAATATGAAGCCAATCCTATCTAGTGAACCTGTCTAGTGTCTAGTCATAGAGCTTTTGTCGTGCTCAGTGGGTTCTGGCCTAGCAACTGTTTCTAGTGAACCTGTCTAGTCCTGACTGAAGCTGAGGTGCTCAATTGGTTCTGACCTGCCTATAGTAGATTTTCATTATTATTATTTTCATTATTCCATTGTTTTCAACATAATTCTTTGTATCTGCTTTAAAATTATAATCCCGCGTATGAATATTTATACTTGGGGGAATTCGTAAACGCCAGAGCCTATACCCCTTCATAAAGCCCCAATCAATGGAACGTATTTGTTTTAAATAATTGTACGTTTTTTAGGTTAGAAACGGAAAATATATTTTTGTGCTGTAGTTTATAGAAACAACCATCGATTATGTATTACGTCGGGTAAAATTATAGAAGCTATTTTTAGTGGAGATCAAAGTGCTGTTGCTTTGAGGAGGCTTGCAAAGCA